CCATTGACCTACACGTGCCACTGGATAACGAAGAGCGGTAGTCGTTGACTCCAAGTTACTTTCTCATGCTTAGTTCAAGCGGCGTTCGACAGCTGGCCAAGGCTCCTGTGGACGAAAAGAAAGCTGTAAGGTCTGTATCCCCATTAATCCCATCAAACACCTTCAAATCACTGCAAGTTATGAAATATTGCACGTAGGAGTGAAAAATTTCGCTGGGAGTCATTGATGAAACATACTATGATTGTTGATAACATTTCATATTTAGTGTTCAAGATGGCGATGAATGAAAAACACGTGCGCGAGTGGATTTTGTACGGACGTAATGCAAATCCTGACTTGTCAATACGGGAATTGGCAAAAAAAAATTAGATTTACCTAAATCCACTGTTCACGGTGTGCTCAAAACATTTTCGGAACGTTTGACGGTCGAGAGGAAACCGAGAAGTGATGGACTGAAAGGTGAAGAGGATAATGAAGGAAATCCCGAATCTCTTTGTTTGAACGGTGGCTCGTAAAATAGGAATGTCACCTGGTTTTGTCCAAAAATAAAAAAAAAGCATTTAGGGCTGAAGTCGTACAAAGTTAAAAAAAGTAGTAAACGACAAACAGAATTTGACAGCAAAATCACGGGCTTATATTTGACGAAGTTTTCATGCGTTGTTATGGACGATACAACTTATGTCCAGTAGGATTTCAAGCAGCTTCCAGGGCTGGCTTTCTATTCTGCTTTGGCCAAAAATGCTACAGCTGAGTATTTCAGGATGAAGAAGGCGTCGAAATTTCTTTAAAAAATACCTTATTTGGAGTAAATCTTTCGTCGCTACAGGCCCAATGAACAAGGAGATTTATCAGAAAGAGTGCCTGCAGAAGCGATCGCTACCCGTCATCAAAAGCCACAAAGAAAAGCCAGATTTGAAATCATGCCATTATGCTAAAACTGTGATGGAGTGGTACGAAGCAAATCAAGTGAATATTGTTCCAAAAATCACAAATCAGCCAAATTGTCCAGAGCTGCGTCCAATTGCGAGATATTGGGCTCTGATGAAGCGGAAGCTTTCTGGAAAGATTCAAGAAATCAAAGATATCAAACACTTCCGAACAATTTGGACAAAGACGACCACCCCGGTATCTGAGGAGTTTGGACAAACCCTATTGGATGGATTTAAGCGCAAAGTTCGAAAATTTCAAACAAATACCGAATAACTATGTTTTGACTTCGTGAATTTTTAAGTTACATCCCATGAATCTAAAAGAAACAACTACAATTGAAATATAATGCTAAATTTGTGTTTTACTTAAGTTTTGATGTGTCCGGATTATTGTGGATAGAGAGGCTGGTACAACCCATGCTGGATGAGTTTTGGCGTCGTTGGATCGTCGAATACTTGTCGATGATATCTCGGCGTACTAAATGGTTCCAATACGTCACACTAATTAAGGAGAATGCGCTAGTTTTGATAGCAGACGAAGGGGTCCGAAAGCAGACAAAGATGGAGTAGTGTGCCGGGCAGATGTAAAGACATCTAGTGGAGTTTTGCGGAGACCTGTTTGTAAACTGGCAGTTCTTGATGTTCGTGGTGATGCGGAAGTCAAAGCAGAGATTCGAGGAGGTGCTGAATTCGGAGCAGAAATTAGCGGAGACGGTGACGTTGAAACAGTGTTCGAGCGACACGAGGGGAGAATGTTCCGACAAGTGATTCCATTGGACAGAGGAGATAAAGGATCGTTGTGGCGTTAGAAACCTTAGATTGATAAGAGATCATCATCATGTTATTGATTTGTCATCATTGTGTTAGGATGTGTATAGAAGCACAATTTTACAAGTAAATTACAATCCATACTTTATTATGCCTAATTAGATTATTTTAGTTAAAACTAATTACAGGTTAATCTTAAAAAAATGTTGAATTTATTAAACATATTGGAATTGTGAATTACGTAGCTTTAGACCGATGGTATGTAGATTGTATTGAACTAAAATAACTTCAAACTCATAATAATAAACTTTATAGCTTTGAGCTGTCACAACACATATAAGACGATTCGCTACAAAGAGCTCAGAAAAGTACATATTCGCAACAGGACTAGACACATTTTCATGATTTTGGGACTCTAATGAACATACTTTACAAAAAAATTCCCTGATTGATGACAACATTTCCTTATAATTGCAGGCTTTTGAGGTCTATTGAAATTCCATGATAATTCCAGTTTTTCATGGTGCATTTTCGAAATTTTTGAGCTAATTTAATTCATTTGCCAACATTGAGTGAATGTGAGTGAACGTGATTCTCTATTCGATAGTTAATTTCCGCGAAATTTGGAAATCCTATTTCTGTGCATTGAATGCTGAGATGTGAAGCGCAGTTCTACCATAGAGGTAACTCTAAGACTAGAAGGTCCCGAAATACCGTGCTCAACTTTTTTGCTCAGCTCTGGTACTCTCTTCGGTCCCAAGCTAATCGATTCACCCCTCGAAAATCCACTAACCCCTCATTTTATCTGTCAAACTTTCATAGTGCAGTTCTACCCAGTGCGTCACAATATCGGCTTCAATCGACAAAATAGATACGACGAAGAAACTGCTAGTTTTCTTTTTTCTGTTGCAGTCGAGCAGCTTTGCATCATTCTAGCACCTCAGTTTACGTCTATAAACAAATTGTCTATCGCTATTCTTTCTTTCTCCCGTCGCATCATTCGTGTTCCTTTCAAGCTTCGGTGAAGCGGACGAGTGAAAGAGCTAGCCTTTCATGGAGGTGTTCAATCGAAGTTGCGCAGAAATCAAAATATATATATTTAATGCATTTTGCACATGTAAACATTTGAAGATTGCAGATACTATCTTTCCTCCACATGTTTATTTTAAATAAGTAACGAGAGCAGGTGACAAAGTGTCGGTGAAAGAAATTGAAAGTCAATGTGGTGAGGTTGCGTTTCAACTCGAAAACCGATGCTGCTTTCATTGAAAGAAACTGGGCAAAGCAAGGCGAGAAAAAGTACAGCCAGGCTTTAGAGCTTCGAAAATGTAGAGCCCTGGCTCTACCATTAATATCCCGAGAGCTGGTGTTTGGTCCCTTGTTATTCAATAGTTTGATAACCTGAGCATGTCCATTTCAAGCTGCCAACTGCAGTCTTCGTCGACCATGTTCACATCTGTAACATTTTTTATGACCATGCCATGCTGCGCTATGAAGCAGAATTCTACCGGTGATTGAACTAATGTGATCTTTGCGTATTGGTTAGCATCCGTACCTCTTACGCCAACGTCACGAGTTCAAATCTCTCCAAAGCCACATAGGAAACAAGACCGCTAAATTGACTAAAGTAAGAGTAGAAAAATTAAAACAAAAACAAAAATAAAAGCAAAAGAAATGCAAAAAATCAATTCAAATTTAAAAGTGGCACCGTTGATAATCAACAGTTTTATCAACTGGTAGTGAAGATTTCGAGCTGCATAAACAAGAGCAGTAAATTGATTTTTATCCACTGATTTCATGTCAGCATTGTTTGATATCAAAAGTTCTGCAGCGTTCTTTTGACCATGGAATGCTGCGATATGAAGTGGAGTTATACCGGTTATTGAACAAATGTTAACATTGGCTTTTCTTTCAATCAACAATTGGATCAACTGATCGTGTCCATTTTGAGCTGCTAAATGAAGAGCAGTCCGTCCATATTCATTCACTGCATTCACGTCAGCATTGTTTGATATCAAGAATTCTGCAGCGTTCTTATGACCATTGAGTGTTGCGTTTTGAAGTGGAGTTCTACCGGTATTTGAACAAATATGCTAACATTGGCTTTTCATTCAATCAACAATTAGATCAACTGATCGTGTCCATTTCGAGCTGCTATATAAAGAGCAGTCCATCCATCTTCTTCCACTGCATTCACGTCAGCATTGTTTGATATCAAGAGCTCTGCAGCGTTCTTATGACCATTTTGAGCTGCTAAATGAAGAGCAGTCTATTGTTTTTCATTCACTGCATTCACGTCAGCATTGTTTGATATCAAGAGTTCTGCAGCGTTCTTATGACCATGGAATACTGCAATATGAAGAGCAGTCCATCCATATTCATCCCCTGCATTCACGTCAGCATTGTTTGATATCAAGAGTTCTGCAGTGTTCTTATGACCATGGAATACTGCAGTATGAAGAGCAGTCCATTGTTTTTCATCCACTGCATTCACGTCAGCATTGTTTGATATCAAGAGCTCTGCAACGTTCTTATGACCATTTTGAGCTGCTGAATGAAGAGCAGTCCATTGTTTTTCATCCACTGCATTCACGTCAGCATTGTTTGATATCAAGAGCTCTGCAACGTTCTTATGACCATTTTGAGCTGCTAAATGAAGAGCTGTCCATCCACCTTCAAACACTGCATTCACGTCAGCATTGTTTGATATCAAGAGTTCTGCAACGTGCTTATGACCATTGAGTGCTGCGCTATGAAGTGGAGTTCTACCGGTATTTGAAAAAATGTTTACAGTGGCTTTTTCTTCAATCAACAGTTGGATCAACTGATCGTGTCCATTTTGAGCTGCGAAATGAAGAGCAGTCCATCCATCTTCCTGCACTGCATTCACGTCAGCATTGTTTGATATCAAGAGCTCTGCAACGTTCTTATGACCATTTTGAGCTGCTAAATGAAGAGCTGTCCATCCACCTTCAAACACTGCATTCACGTCAGCATTGTTTGATATCAAGAGTTCTGCAACGTGCTTATGACCATTGAGTGCTGCGCTATGAAGTGGAGTTCTACCGGTATTTGAAAAAATGTTTACAGTGGCTTTTTCTTCAATCAACAGTTGGATCAACTGATCGTGTCCATTTTGAGCTGCGAAATGAAGAGCAGTCCATCCATCTTCCTGCACTGCATTCACGTCAGCATTGTTTGATATCAAGAGCTCTGCAACGTTCTTATGACCATTTTGAGCTGCTAAATGAAGAGCTGTCCATCCACCTTCAAACACTGCATTCACGTCAGCATTGTTTGATATCAAGAGCTCTGCAACGTTCTTATTTCCATCTCGAGCTGCGAAATGAAGAGCAGTCCATCCATCTTCTTCCACTGCATTCACGTCAGCATTGTTTGATATCAAGAGCTCTGCAACGTTCTTATGACCATTTTGAGCTGCTAAATGAAGAGCTGTCCATCCACCTTCAAACACTGCATTCACGTCAGCATTGTTTGATATCAAGAGTTCTGCAACGTGCTTATGACCATTGAGTGCTGCGCTATGAAGTGGAGTTCTACCGGTATTTGAAAAAATGTTTACAGTGGCTTTTTCTTCAATCAACAGTTGGATCAACTGATCGTGTCCATTTTGAGCTGCGAAATGAAGAGCAGTCCATCCATCTTCCTGCACTGCATTCACGTCAGCATTGTTTGATATCAAGAGCTCTGCAACGTTCTTATGACCATTTTGAGCTGCTAAATGAAGAGCTGTCCATCCACCTTCAAACACTGCATTCACGTCAGCATTGTTTGATATCAAGAGCTCTGCAACGTTCTTATTTCCATCTCGAGCTGCGAAATGAAGAGCAGTCCATCCATCTTCCTGCACTGCATTCACGTCAGCATTGTTTGATATCAAGAGCTCTGCAACGTTCTTATGACCATTTTGAGCTGCTAAATGAAGAGCTGTCCATCCACCTTCAAACACTGCATTCACGTCAGCATTGTTTGATATCAAGAGTTCTGCAACGTGCTTATGACCATTGAGTGCTGCGCTATGAAGTGGAGTTCTACCGGTATTTGAAAAAATGTTTACAGTGGCTTTTTCTTCAATCAACAGTTGGATCAACTGATCGTGTCCATTTTGAGCTGCGAAATGAAGAGCAGTCCATCCATCTTCCTGCACTGCATTCACGTCAGCATTGTTTGATATCAAGAGCTCTGCAACGTTCTTATGACCATTTTGAGCTGCTAAATGAAGAGCTGTCCATCCACCTTCAAACACTGCATTCACGTCAGCATTGTTTGATATCAAGAGTTCTGCAACGTGCTTATGACCATTGAGTGCTGCGCTATGAAGTGGAGTTCTACCGGTATTTGAAAAAATGTTTACAGTGGCTTTTTCTTCAATCAACAGTTGGATCAACTGATCGTGTCCATTTTGAGCTGCGAAATGAAGAGCAGTCCATCCATCTTCCTGCACTGCATTCACGTCAGCATTGTTTGATATCAAGAGCTCTGCAACGTTCTTATGACCATTTTGAGCTGCTAAATGAAGAGCTGTCCATCCACCTTCAAACACTGCATTCACGTCAGCATTGTTTGATATCAAGAGCTCTGCAACGTTCTTATTTCCATCTCGAGCTGCGAAATGAAGAGCAGTCCATCCATCTTCTTCCACTGCATTCACGTCAGCATTGTTTGATATCAAGAGCTCTGCAACGTTCTTATGACCATTTTGAGCTGCTAAATGAAGAGCTGTCCATCCACCTTCAAACACTGCATTCACGTCAGCATTGTTTGATATCAAGAGTTCTGCAACGTGCTTATGACCATTGAGTGCTGCGCTATGAAGTGGAGTTCTACCGGTATTTGAAAAAATGTTTACAGTGGCTTTTTCTTCAATCAACAGTTGGATCAACTGATCGTGTCCATTTTGAGCTGCGAAATGAAGAGCAGTCCATCCATCTTCCTGCACTGCATTCACGTCAGCATTGTTTGATATCAAGAGCTCTGCAACGTTCTTATGACCATTTTGAGCTGCTAAATGAAGAGCTGTCCATCCACCTTCAAACACTGCATTCACGTCAGCATTGTTTGATATCAAGAGCTCTGCAACGTTCTTATTTCCATCTCGAGCTGCGAAATGAAGAGCAGTCCATCCATCTTCCTGCACTGCATTCACGTCAGCATTGTTTGATATCAAGAGCTCTGCAACGTTCTTATGACCATTTTGAGCTGCTAAATGAAGAGCTGTCCATCCACCTTCAAACACTGCATTCACGTCAGCATTGTTTGATATCAAGAGTTCTGCAACGTGCTTATGACCATTGAGTGCTGCGCTATGAAGTGGAGTTCTACCGGTATTTGAAAAAATGTTTACAGTGGCTTTTTCTTCAATCAACAGTTGGATCAACTGATCGTGTCCATTTTGAGCTGCGAAATGAAGAGCAGTCCATCCATCTTCCTGCACTGCATTCACGTCAGCATTGTTTGATATCAAGAGCTCTGCAACGTTCTTATGACCATTTTGAGCTGCTAAATGAAGAGCTGTCCATCCACCTTCAAACACTGCATTCACGTCAGCATTGTTTGATATCAAGAGTTCTGCAACGTGCTTATGACCATTGAGTGCTGCGCTATGAAGTGGAGTTCTACCGGTATTTGAAAAAATGTTTACAGTGGCTTTTTCTTCAATCAACAGTTGGATCAACTGATCGTGTCCATTTTGAGCTGCGAAATGAAGAGCAGTCCATCCATCTTCCTGCACTGCATTCACGTCAGCATTGTTTGATATCAAGAGCTCTGCAACGTTCTTATGACCATTTTGAGCTGCTAAATGAAGAGCTGTCCATCCACCTTCAAACACTGCATTCACGTCAGCATTGTTTGATATCAAGAGTTCTGCAACGTGCTTATGACCATTGAGTGCTGCGCTATGAAGTGGAGTTCTACCGGTATTTGAAAAAATGTTTACAGTGGCTTTTTCTTCAATCAACAGTTGGATCAACTGATCGTGTCCATTTTGAGCTGCGAAATGAAGAGCAGTCCATCCATCTTCCTGCACTGCATTCACGTCAGCATTGTTTGATATCAAGAGCTCTGCAACGTTCTTATGACCATTTTGAGCTGCTAAATGAAGAGCTGTCCATCCACCTTCAAACACTGCATTCACGTCAGCATTGTTTGATATCAAGAGCTCTGCAACGTTCTTATTTCCATCTCGAGCTGCGAAATGAAGAGCAGTCCATCCATCTTCTTCCACTGCATTCACGTCAGCATTGTTTGATATCAAGAGTTCTGCAGCGTTCTTATGACCATGGAATACTGCAATATGAAGAGCAGTCCATTGTTTTTCATCCAATGCATTCACGTCAGCATTGTTTGATATCAAGAGTTCTGCAACGTTCTTATGACCATTTTGAGCTGCTAAATGAAGAGCAGTCCTTTGTGTTTTATCCACTGAATTCACGTCAGCTTTATTCTTTAATAAGAATTCACATATTTCAACAAACCCACCTTGCGCAGCAACCAGTAACATAGCTGTTAGGTTTTCTGTTGAGAATGATTTAAAATTTGGTTCAAAAGAGGAAATGATACTCAAACAGTCAAACTCACATGCCCACAGTGCAACTCGCCAGCTTTTTTCACACAGATTACTTAAGATCGTGAGGTATGCCTGGTTTCCTTCCATCTTGGTCATAGACAATCTTCGAACAACATAATGATTAGACAAAATGCGTATGACCATTTTTGCTGAAAACGTGAAAATGTTGTCGCACAGATATGTTGCCACAAAGTATTCACTGTAAGACCGATGGCAAAAATTAACCTTCTGTTGGACTACATGAACCAGTTGTGATGTATCTGATTCATGTTCGCATCGTTTTTTAAATTGATCGTGTATTTCTCTATAATATTGATTTTTGAACAATTCCTTACGTACTCCAATGTTTAGCAGCTCCATAGCTAACAACTGATGCTTCAAAATATAATCACCCATCAACGAATCCAAATCAGTGGAGCTCAAAGCATATTTGGGCTTGAATTTTTCCATAAATTTTTTGTGAAAACATCTTTTAACAAACTGTCCATACAGCTGTGTAATATTCATTTTTTCTTTAGTCAGATCAACGAGCTGATATGTGTTCTGTTTCTTCAATGAATGGTAATTTTTAAATTTTTCTAAATAAACTTCTCCCAGCATATTTACCATGAGAGGCGCGCCACAAATTTCACCAAAATTTGAAGGGATATTTGATTTAAATTTGTTTAAAATATGTTTCGAGTAGCTATCAAAGCAATGTTCATAGCGGCGCCGGTGGTGTAGTGGTAAGCGTGATTGCCTCTCACCCCAGCAGGCCTGGGTTCAATCCCAGTCGGCGCCGTCGGGATGTTCTGAGGCATAACATCTCTGATCACGCCTTCCTTCGGAAGGGAAGTAAAGCCGTTGGTCCCCGGTTCATGAGTTTGATGGGTCGATAGGTAGGGTCCAGGTGTGGGAGCTGCCTCCCTGGCGTCGGTAGCATTGGTGCACAGCACGGAAAACAAGATCGACGGAAAACAAATCAAGGAAAAAAAAAAAAAAAAAAAAGCAATGTTCATCTAGATCTGGGTCGTACCACATCTTTCTCAAATAGTTGATTTGCTCTTCCACACAGAACGGCTCCAGAAACATAGATCTTACATTAAATTGCTCCTCTAATGATAATTGCATATGTTTTCTGGCGCTGATAATGATTCGAATGCTCTCTTTTAACTTGAGTTGTTCCAGCATCTCAATCACTCTGTTGGTGTACTTGGAGTGGATCTCGTCGAAGCCATCCATCTCTATAAGAATGGAATAGCCTTGGCCATCCCTTTCATCTGGGGCATTTTTAATGACATCGAAATATCGTTTTGAAAGGATCACTTTGAGTACATTAAGCACATCATCCAAGCTTGAAATGTGTTCTACTTTTTCGAGCTCCATCACCAACTCGCTTAAGTATACCAACAGTACAAGGACAGTATTTTGCTTCTGCACTTCAAACGCTACAAACTGAAGCAAGCTAGTCTTTCCTATTCCAGGGTCTGCCAGAAGTACGATGATCTGATGGTCTTCAAATGTTTTCCCAAGCTCTTCAACAAACTGAGCGTCACTCATCTGTCGTGAAAGTTCCTGAATGTTGTCTTTCATACCTGTTTTCTCAACTTCAAAGACATCTTCGCCATTGGTCGGTTCACTATACGTGTATATAATACGGCGATTGATGTAATATTTTTGCAATTGTTTTGCTTCCTTACCTTCAAGGTTATCGTTATCATTTTGAATTTCACTAAGACAGTTTAGTATATCACTTTGTTTCAAAATTGCCTTTATTTTATTCTTTATGGGTTTATTGAGTTGGTCAAATTTTAATATCAGATCTCTAAATATCAGATCGATGTTACGCAATTTTCTGAGTATATCGGGACAAATCCACGTCTCACACCACGTCCACAGCTCGCTTTCAATCATTGGATTGAAATCATATGGTTGACCCACTAATAGAGAAAAGTCGTCGAAGAATGGCAAAATTTCCTCCTCACTAACATAACGTGGCAAATGTTTCACCCTTGAATTTTTGAGTGAAAAGTTATCCACTATTACTGTCTTCTTCATATCAAACTTATCTTTTTCTAGAGCATTAAATAGTTGGGCAACATTGAATTGCTCGCTTTCCGAGTTGAAGGTATCTAAAAAACTGCATTTCTTTTTTTTTATTGTTAAAACGTCTTTCAGAGGAGTACTATAGGTTTCTAAAATTTTACTGACGGTTTTCTTGTTGTTTTGTTGCTCTTCCATTGCGGTTCCATTGTTGAAAAGCTCTTTGATTGCCTCTTTAAGGTTTGCGAAATCTTTGTTGATAAAATCGCTCAACTCCCTAATCGCTTCTTTGGTTGGAACCAGTTTCAGGTGTCGGGCCTTGGATCCAGGAAATCGTAGGATTTCATCTACTTCTACCTCTTTAGTCGTCACCCAATCGTCATCGGATATTTTTAAATCCCTATTAGTAAATATATAGAACTGCTTTTTGTATTGATCTTTCTGAAAATTTTCAACAACTTTCAGATAGGATTGCAGGTATTTGTAAATACTGAAGTCTCCGTTGTGTTGATCTTTTAGTGCATTCAAATCGATATCGTTTACCTTGTCATCTCTGGCAAGGGCGTGCTTCACCTGGAGGAAGTGTATCACCTTACGCTTATCGTCAAAGATCACTACGTCATCATACTTGTCGGCTAGTGTCATTTCATATGCCAATCTGAAACTTTTTCTCTGCATCCGTAGAAAAAGCGCGACTGCAATTTGTTTTTGGTATACTTCACCGTGGTAGCCTGTTCTGCTTCTTCTTTCATATGTTCCGTGTTGTATTAGGTTCAGCATTTTGAATCACCTGGAGAATAGAAGAGAAATAACGCATTAGCGAATGTGACAAAGTTGCTCCAGTATGACGATGGTGACATTTTTTCACCTCAACAACAGTCGTGTAATGGAGCAGCCAAATGACTTCTCCGATTTGCAAGTTTGTCATGGGAAATGATTCACATTTTGGCTAAAATTCGGCCATTTTGAGCCTTGTTAAATTTTCAAAATGACATCTTTTAAATTTTTGAAAAAAATGTTACATGATCGAAATGACGTCTAAGACAAAGTTGTAATGAAAATTAATATTTGTATAGGAAAAATATACAAACATGTGGTTTCCATTAAAAACTAAAAAAAAAGCTAGTTCCCCACGAGAACATTCTAAAAAAATTATATCATGATTGTATCAACTTCGGTTATATATAACAACCGTTGATATAATCTTGCTTTAAGTGCTCTGTGGTGAAATGACGAATAAAAAATCATCATGGTATTTGATATAAAATTGTTACACAATTTGTTGGAAAAAAAAAATTAAAACAACATTTTAACTACGTTTGTTAGCATTAGTAGGGTTCGAATCCCTGTGGCAGCTATAAAGACGCTCTGTGTGTGAGGGGGTGCTGTGTTGGGGGGGGGGGGGGGGAGGGTGCTCTACGTAGATGATTTTTTAAAATATTTTAACAACAATCTAAAAATAGAAAACACTAAAAAAAATATGTTACCGAAAAACCGTGTTAAAAAGTTTAGTTCAAATCGTTTTTAGTTTTTACCCTAATGGGTTATTTTTTAACAAGGTGTGTTAAAAATATGATCTAACAATAGTTGTTATATTCTTGATAGCACGTAGAAGGTTTCTTGTTATATTTTTTGTTATTTAAACTACTAACGGTACATGTTTTATAACAGACCATGTTACGAATAATTTTATATCTCAGTAACACAGTGTGTATTATTTCTGATACTTCGGGAATTGCCTTTATTAATGAGATTTTAAGCTGGTTCAGCTCCCAAAAGTGTTAAAACCAAAATATCTCAAAATGATTTTGTCCGTTTTTTTTTTAATTAAAAAAACTCTTAGAAAGTTCACACTTTTGGAATGTTTACAAATATCCACACCTAAAAATTGGCGAAAATCGTAGAACAAGAATTTTTTATTTGAACGTTTTTTTTTTCATTTAATTTAGACTCAGAAAACAATGTTCAAGACATTTTCAATAATTTTTTTAGAGAAAATAAGCATAAATGCGTACCTACTAAAAGTTCAAAACATTTACCAAAAATTCATGATCTACATTATTTGTCAGTTTTCAAGTGTCCGGGCAAGGAAGTTTTGAGATTACATTTGCGTTAATTTTTTACTTAAAATAAATTATAAACATTTTTTGGGAACAGAAAGACATTATTTTCCTCTGCAACGTTGTTTCAGACATCATTTCGAGCAGGAACGCCATTTTGAAAATTTACAAGTCACAAAATGAATGAATTTTAGCAGATATGTGAATCACTGCCCAAAACAAACAATCAAGCAAAGTGTCACAAAAATCGAAGAAGGTCGACACAAAAATTTATGTTTTTACGCTATTTTGCCAGGAGCTTCTTAGTTCCTCACTCGATCTTCTCCGATTTTCGTGAAACTTTTTATAATTGATTGTTATGAATCTCG